GTATATATATATATATACATTCTGCTGTGTTACGTCATGTCATATTTTATATGACAGTATTAAATGATTGAATATTATCGGGAGTGCTCTTTTCAGGACCTACCTTTTCTAAACCGTCCTTCGTCGAGAGTTGGCAGCACCGCTGCCTCCGTAAATACAGCATTCCGATCTCATGCGGAAACACCTTACTGTCTTTGAAGTCGCATCACAGAGGACAATACAAATTTACCTCCAGACTACCTCTTATTACAGTTATGCATTGCACACAGGCTCGTTACTATTCGTCTGGTTGCTCTTATTTAGCCTTAGCTTGGTGTCACCTTGTGGAACGGAGTTATACAAGGATCGTTGCCGGATCGTTGCATCACCCATACCCGAGCAATACACAAGGTGGCAGCTTTTAGTCACGAAGTCATATATTTTCAGGTAACCTTCCCGTCGAACAAAACCCTTGCCCGTACGATGGGGGTATCCAGTGGCATTCCGAAGGTCGCTTTTAGAATATCGTGATCGCTGTTACGTGACAGTGGAGATCGCAGGTTCCTCCACGTCCATTTCGCTGAGTGCAAAACCTGGACAGTGTCCCCACCTATTCTAATTAGACTAAGGAATAATTTATTATCCTGCACCACTGCCAAGAATTTGCTGCCTAACCCACATGCATCAGTAGCGGTCTACCGTACTGGCCTAATCTACAGTTCTTCACTCCCTGTTAGAGATCATTCCCTTCACATGTGGGGAACATTTAACTGTCTCTCGATACAGGAGCGTTGAGTTCTTGCTGCGAAACCCTGATTCCCGCGCGGATCAGAGAATCCCGGATATTAAAACGAACTTTTACGGTATTATTCGCAAAGAAGTTGGCAGTTGGAGGTAACTGACTCCATTTACCCAATTTCGTCTAGTCAGCGACAAAATAAACAAGTACGCTAACTGACCAACACTGCACAGTCTCAATTTCGGCACATCGTAAAATAGTGACTAGAATGAGATCCTGTCGTTGTTAGTTGCCCTTCTCCACATCACATCAATTCAAGTTGTTCTAGCAGTTGCTGTGAATATCCTGATGCGTCATAACAGGGAGAGTAGGAACAGATCAAGATGAGAGAACTAATAGGGATAGGTTAATGTCTTCTGGACATAATCATGATGCAGACTTCTTTCCTGAACCTGTGGTCACTCATTTGGATTTAACAATAGCTTTAACAACATATTTAGGTTACCTAGCCGAGGCAAAAATTGACGTAAACAGGGATACCAAATGGCACGTTAATTTGAGCTCGTTTCGCCTCACGCGAATGAGGACTGAAGTAGCGTATTTGCCTCACCGCACGCGTAGCATTTCACGGACGATAGTTTTCTAGAGAATTGACCATATGAGATTTATGACCAGGTTTCGGTTCACATGAATGTTCAACCCATCTTTCTATGCATACCAGTAATGTATGTTCGTTTTTTTTTTGGGGGGGGGGTGATATAGTATTTATTTCGTGATTTTAAGCAAAATTCTTTTGTGCACTCTGTTGTCGGCTTTGAGTTTTCCCAATCACATACCGTTGCACCAAGTCCCGGTTTCAGTACTTTTCAAATACAACGAGATGATTTCTTTACTCTCTTTTCGGGAGCAGTAGTTCCCGAGTATTCATGGACCACTTCGGTTTGGAAGGCTATAAAACATAGTCTATGAGCACGGTAGTGCGGTTACCTTTCCTGCCACCTTTCAGATCATTCACTGTTATGGGGGAGGCATCACCTAAGGCGGAAAAACTTGATGTCAACTCCCCACTACCCGATGTGGATGACGAAGAAGCATCCTGGAAACGTTCCAAGAGCGATGCTAGTTTCTTCCTTGCAGGAGCGGCTTCGAAGGGTTCCAGTGCCGGGTGAGGTCATGATTTTTCTTCGGTCTAATCGTACATTTCTGGCATTAGTGGACATACTGACAATATTTCAGAACACTCCGCCGTGTACTGGAACATAGCTGAAGCTGTTGAAGAGTCATCAACACTCTCCACTTCCAGAAAGTTCCCTCCTTTTGGGTCCCGCGATCGCAGTCACAAGCCGTTATCCGGGGCAGACAAATATGACGAAGTGGACATGATTAAGAAACCTGGTCATCCTTTTCCTTTAGGTAAGTAATTTATGATTTGAACACACCGACATCCTGGGAAGAAGTTATTCTGGCTAGTATTCCAGTCGATTCGACATTACTTTGCACACTCCCCTCAAACTATTTTCTCTCTTATTTTGATCTGGTCAACTGCATTTCAGTTTCGTGTACCCTTCTCATCAATCTTATTTTATCTTTTCGCTTTGATTTACACTCGACCACCGTTCATCTTCACTCCAATGCCACTTTGTGTTCGAGTGTGTGCCAAATTATTTACTGGTCATATTTGATTCTATACCAAAATGCAGTTGAAACTCCGCGCTTGCTCAGTGTCCCTGATTGTTGTGTTGTGTCGCTGGAGCTTTTGTTGCCGTCAGTGGTAGACATGTTCAGGAACACCACTGTGCGATGTATATAATGACAATCCATATTAAATCCCAACGGTCAGTAGCTGGATTTCTATTCAACCAATTTACCCTTTTTTGTTTTTCGGTACGGCGTTAACTGGTTCTCGTCTGGTTGGGTCTAGGTCTTCTTGATGATGACTGCATTACCAAGGCTTATCTTTCCTCAACGAAGAACATTGGCATCAATGTGTGATGAAGTCAGCACAGTTCGGCGCGTTACAGAAACGGGGCGGCACCACAGTTGCACTTAAACACTGCTGCTACAGCAGTGAAGCATCAGTGGCAACACTGATGTTGCTGTCTTTGATGTTGATGATGATGAACACTGCTGCTCCTCTACTGTGAATCAAGTGAAATCGACCGCACTAGAACACCGCACACCAAAACAGACGAGTAGAGCGAAATGGCACGTTACATGATTCAGTAGTTTTTATGATGGTCATTTCACCACGGTGAACCGAAAGTTCTCCCGTTTACTAACTTTCGGACTAGAGACACTCGGTATCACTGGAATCTTTTCGTTATTCCGATGTTTTTTTATAGTGGTACTACATTGTGTCAGTTTGAATAACATCCAGGAGGGCATATGCGGCATTGTTTTGCTTGGACCGTTTCTCCACAGTGTTTGCGGTCCTCCGATTTGACGGACCCCTTACATGTTGACCACATAAATTGGTACGTCTAATTATCTGGCTCCTAGCAGCAACTAATTTTGTGGCACTTCCTTCGGTTTGATTGAATGTCCTTAGATATGATGATCAACTGTTAGTTCAACATGCAACAACCGTGCTTAACAGTTTGCCCAAAAACCTAATTTCACCAACAAGGTTTAAGCACAGGGAGGTTATTTGCATGACCACGGGATTGATATTTATACCTGTCAGGCAACTTATCAATACAGTTATTCGTTCTTGATGCGGACGCCATTTGGACCAGTTCAATTTATCTAGAGTAACAAAGTGTCATCCATTTCTTTGTAATATTCTACTCATAAGGTTGCTGAAAATCCGTCGACAGCCCACGACCGGTTTCGTCCTTCTTGGGGCTCATCAGGTAGTTTGCAAATGAGTGTATATTCGCTAGTTTCATGCAATTTGGTTTCAAGTAGAACATAAGGTTGACGGAAACCCGGGGACTGCGCCTACCTGATGAGTCCCAAGAAGGTCGAAACCAGTCGTGGGCTGTCGACGGATTTTCAGCAACCTTATGAGTAGAATATTACAAAGAAATGGATGACACTTTGTTACTCTAGATAAATTGAACTGGTCCAAATGGCGTCCGCATCAAGAACGAATAACTGTATTGATAAGTTGCCTGACAGGTATAAATATCAATCCCGTGGTCAACCATTTCCCTGTACTTTGGGTAAAAAAGCTGAGTTACCATCATTAACGCAAACGTGGCAAGGTAGCCTAGCTGAGAACAAATACATATGAATATTCCTGAGAACGAACGCCAAAGAATAGTGGTTACCCAATAGTTAATAATGATGTCATTTGCACATGTCTGGACAAAACTTTTACTTAGGTGAATACCGAACCAACAAACGAGTGGTATTCAAATCATGAACCAATGATCCTTTCACGTTAGATATGAGTGATGTGGTGCGGCAACTGACTAGTTTACTGTCGTGGGATTGCCACAACTTCGTTACCGAAGTATCCTTCTGACGCATAGCTTCCACGTTACCGGAGGCAAGCAGATATTGCTTTGCTGCGCCCAATTCGAAGCAGGCACGCTAATACCGTTGCGTAATTATGAGTAGCACCACGACGCACAGTAATTCACCTTTCGACAACGTTCGTGCGATTTGCTTGGTTGTACCCACCAGGGTGTGCACCATCTGGTTACGCTCTCACTGCATCTTGATGTTACAGTACATGTCGTATATCATGTGGGAAGCAATGGTTACCGAAATCCTGGGGATTGAACTTCGGTAGTAATCAGTATGATTTATAGACACCCAAGGGATACCGTTTGGGTAACTCAATTGGGTATGGGAATCAGAAGCACACGTGTGAGAGTTCCTATATCCAGTTAAGCCACCCCCAACCCCTCGGGGGAGTATGTGGTTTTGTTCTCCGATGAGCGCTTCATCCACCTTCTTTATCCACAAAGAAATGTTATGACCCTGACTGTGCTGCCTTCGTCTCTTTGATGCCCCTTCCTATGCGGCAGTCGGTAGAATAATTACATAGGGTGACTTCCACGATTCTATCTGCGATTTTATGCTGCAGTGTAACACAAAATTTCATGAACTGGATGTGCGCGAAGCCACCCTAATATCATTTTTACACTTCTTTAAGTAACTCTCCTCACGTAGGTTCTTATGTACCTCTTGTTTTTTTCATCCAATCTGACGATGAACCTCCAAAGAATGCAAATCAATTCGGCTTTGGAGAGGGTTCCGATCCAGTTATTAGAACAACGGCAAGGAAGCATAGACTCGATTTTCAACCGTCTACGAACGTAGTCTGCTTGTCATGATAGCCTGCACCATGCAGTTGACTTAACCGTATACCTACGTAGTAGAATAATAAGGATAAAATACTGGCGTGAATTTTGTGGAAATAGCTACTTCATCTTCACTGATAAAGGAAAGTATAAGCACTGTAACTCTCGCGGTGTAAAAGTTTTACTGAGTCGATTCATTAACGGAAATAATTATTGTTCTGTCCTAGTGTCAGAGGCAAAGGGCTTCATGTGTTGATACGAAACCACAGAGAACTCAGATGTCTAAAGGACTGTACAAGGTGCGCCATGAAGGGCACGGTCAAGGATGGGAATATACTATTATAAGTCTAACTACGCAAGCTGACGAGTTATTCTTCGCGTAAAGCAGAATATTATTATCCGTAGTAAACTTCGGATGTCATTGTAGCATTGCGCCCGATTGGTATCCAGGCCCTGTATAACTGTTGGTTCAGTTTTTCAGCCGCTTGATGCGGTTATTATCATCTTGCTAAAGTTCCCTACTGTACAGTGTTCTTACTGAATTTATTCGGCGATCATCGCAATAACGTCAGTGAGTATTAGACTGATTTTCAACCACAAGACAATTTCCAGCGGAACATTGCTGCATCGTGAGAATCCGCTTCGACCAGCTTTGTTCCCCAGTTGCTTCAAACTGCGATAGTGGAAGTGCCGGTCCATGTGAAGCCTTCACAGAAGCACACTCGAATAGCAACATCTGTTATTAAGGCTATGAAATTAGTGGATGATTGGATAGGTTTCTTTCTTAGTGAAGTTGCATGCATTGGATTATTGATCGATTGAGCGACAAGTAGACGCACGCAGATGCTCGTGCGCCTGCCGGTCCGGATGTTATCCACGATGACACTAGTGGAACGGAAATTCGAGACCTTTGCTCACAAACTGACTGAATATACTGTGCCCCACCGAGTGACCAGCCCTAGCGCTTTGGAGAAACTAAACTAACCCGACAATACTTCTCGACTCTTCAGGTGCATACCATATGGGTCCGATATAATGGCTGAGGCATTCTCACATTTAGGAACTTCTCTAAAGGGCGTGTTGGTCAATATGTAGAGACGGCAATCGACTGTGTATATGGTACAACCGGCACACCACATAACACTGTTCCGATCGACCAACGGTAGTGAATTGCATTACTACTCCCCACTAGCATTTCAACCGCTAGGAGCCATTCACTCGTTGTACGACGCAAACTGGTCGAAGTTATGATTAAATGCATACTTACGAAAAGAACCGCAGAACTTAAAGCAATCATCGGTTTTGAAGCAGATGAAAAGCAATGCTTATAGTGTCGACAGGGTTGAACAATGTTGCAAAAGCCGTCCCCATCTCAAATTAATCTGATCAACGGACTCTGAACCACTGGGGCTCATTCGTGGCTTCTTTTATCAAGTCTTCCCTTGTTACCCACTACGAACTGCAAGTGGAACAAGAAGTAGTCGTCACTAGCTGCGAACTCCGAGCATGGGCTGTCTGATAGGTGCATAACTGATTTTGTGCACAGTAATGCTCAAAACGTTGGTACCACTGAACTTCAAAACTGCCGCAAAATGATCTGGTCATCTTTGCTACGTCTGTAGTATCCTGCAATGAAGTTAATGTACTGTTGAATTCTGTCTCTTCATGACCCTATGTCCGCAACATTCTGGAGCACCAATATTCTGAGTTGCATGTCGGCATTACCACGGATCACAAAGCTCGCTGCCATTTTTCCCAAACTTCCTTCGAACCAAAAGCAGAGATTAATATTTCAGCAAACTTACAAGTAACGTGTTCCCTCAGGATAGAAAATAAGTCCATTTTTTGGAGCCGGTAAAGGGCTTTCGGACGGTTTATTTCATCTTGCTAGAAGTTGGTAGTTATGACGCATTCCGAGAGAAAAATCGGTTCACGCGTCGGACGGGTGTTTTTGTTATTCTAGCGATAACATTTAAAATGAGGTGAATGCGAGTGCTTCTGGAGCGTACAGGCGTGAGATTTCTTGAATTCTTACCCACTTTACTTAAGCGACCTTTATTTCTGACCGATACCGTACTGATAGTCTATTAAAAAGGGCTGACTGTAAAACAAGGCTGGGCTGTTCAACTTCTGAGGTTTCAAGGATGGCTTGTAACTGTG